TTTATAATTTATATAATTAACTTCCTTATGGTTGGACTCTAGTCTTGCCGGGTTATTTATTACTTCAACACTCCTGCATTTGGAAGAAGACATCAATCTTTTAGTCGTGTCATTAGTACTTGTTATTGTTGTAACTTGTGGGTGGTTTATTCATTAGCCTGATGTTCACAATGCTTTCTTGAATGGGATTCTTCAAGAAGAAGTGTATATGGAATAACCACCTGGTTTTTCTTACCCTACTCTATTATATCATATTTATCACCTGCATAAATCTATGTATAGTTTAAAATAGGCTCCCCAAGCATGGTATACCAAACTTAGTGATTATCTTATTTCTCTTAGTTCTCGAGCCTTTATTGCTGACATCTCTCTGTTTATTTACTCTAATGGCCATGATCTCATTTACTTGCTTATATATATGGATGACATTCTACTTACTAGGAATAATTCAACTCTGTTATGACACTTGATTACCCTATTAAATCTGGAATTCAAAATTAGGGATTTAGGCTCTATGCATTATTTCTTGGGGATTGAAGTCACCAAAACTATCATAGGATTTATGCTCTCATAGTATAAATATACTCTCGATATCATTCAACTAGCCGATATGTCTTCGTGTAAAGCTGCCGACATGCCTACTTCATCCTCATCTAAGCTATTACTGACCTTGAATACTCTGTTCTCTGATCCTACCCGTTACTGACAGATTGTTGGTGCTTTGTAGTATCTCACTTTTACTCGCTCGAATATCTGTTATGCTGTAAATAAAGTCTGTCAGTTTATGTACTCGCCTATCGAAGGACATTGGTCTCTTGTTAAAATAATTATCATGTACCTTTAAGGAACGACATCTTATGGTCTACACATCACTCGGTGGTCCTCTCTTTCCTTACATGGTTTTACAGATGCTGATTGAGCTGGTAGTCTTGATGATAAAAAAATCCACTGGTGGCTACTTGGTATATCTCGACAACACACCTATTTCTTGGAAGTCTGTAAAACAACGCACAAGGGCTTGTTCATCGACTGAAGTAGAATATAAGGCTTTTACGGATGGTATTGCTGAGATTTTGTGGATTCGGGCTCTGTTAACAAATTTTCATTTTTCCTTTAATCCTATGACTATCTTTTGGTGTGATAATTTGAGTGCTACCTACTTGTTTATTAATCCTATCTTTCATGCTCGCACTAAGCATTTTGAAGTCGATTATCACTTTATTCATGATCACATTACTAAAAAGAAAATTACAGTTCGATTCATCTCCTCCCTGGATCAACTTGCTGATGTACTTACCAAACCTCTTCCTTATGCATCCTTTACTTATTTTCGGTCCAAGCTTCATGTGGATTCTTCTCCTTCAGTCTGACGGGACATATTATATAATGTTATATATATATATTACATAAGGGGAGTGTTGTATATGTTGCATTACAACCTCCATAATATTTTTCAATACTTTTTCTCCCTTAACTTTAATTGTGCTCAACCATGGTTGTAGATTTGATCATTCATAGGAAGAGAAAATGGTGCTTTGTTAGTGTTATGCATGCTTTTTGTATATAAAAAATATTATTGGCTAGTTATAGTTGCTTGCAATTGATATATTTTGTCATAGTTGTTATATCATCCACATTATTAGTAAAGATATTAGTGATTAGGAGTGTCATTAATACAGAGTGGTTATACCATTATTAGTAAAGATATTAGTGATTAGGAATGTCATTAATACAGAGTGGTTATACCATACGTGTTAATGATGAAAATATTAATAATAAAAAATCTCATTGATACAGAAAATAATGCATTGCATTGCATAAAAAAAACTCATGTGTGCATAGAAAAAAACTTATGTCACCACTCTTAAAAACCCAAAAAAATACATAAAAGAGTATGCGATGATAAGATTGAACAAATGGGTCTAGACTAGAATTTTGGCTCGCAAATTTCCAGGTATTTGTGTTTTTTTCTTTCTTTCATATAAAAAAATCTTTCATATCACTGTCCAAAAGTAGGAAATGACATAAATTAATGGATATCCTTGCCAACTTTTTTTTTCCCCGAAGAGGTTTGAACTCGAAATCTGTTGCGAGATAAAGGAGATATTAATGGCAATTAAACTAGGTATCAATGGTAGTAGTTTTCTATGTCTCTAATGCAATTAACACAGCGAAATTAAGGCGCATAAATACTTATTTTACCATCTCATTACATGTTTCTGGCACCAATACAGAGACCACATCAGCCAATTACATATACCAAACCTTAATTTATGCTTCGCACAAACTCACTAAACTCGCGTAATTAAGATACAAACGATATCAAGAAGAATATAATTGTTCTTAATGATCAATTATAAGAAATAAACCAGTTGTGATTATCTAAATAATTAAACCATAGAATCCAAGGCCATGATGGTGCTGAGATTCATCGGGTTCATATACTTGGTGCTGCCAGTCACGATGCTGCTAACAATGATTCTGTTAGCTCTCTCAGTTGGATGGAATGGATCCCAAAATGCAAAGATTTCTCTGTTAGGGCACAAGTTGGAAGCTATAGTACACAGTCCTATCCCATTGAAACGTCCCTGTCCACAACATGCAACTTGCGACGTCACAAATCCTGCATACAAACCATTTAAAATTAGTATAGTGCTCTTGCAATCCAAAATTCTTTGAATGTAATCCAACTAGCTAATTATTTAAATAATTTGCATACTAATTGCATTAAAAAATTAATTCAATTAAAATTTTAAATTGTTAAGATTGCATTAAAAAATTAATTCAATTAAAAATTTAAATTGTTAAGTAAAGTCTTAAAATATGATTTATATTATGTTCTAACACATCTTTTAAATGAAAATCATTGGAGCTTATAACTTATACATACTCACACTATTTTGTATTTAATCTTTATCAAATAAATAAAAATAATAAAATTTAAGCTCGCGACTGATCAAATAAATAAAGATAATAAAATTTAAGCTTGCGACTGATTGGTTATTAAAGTTCTAATATCATATAAAAAATCAAATCAATTTAAAATATTATTTAAACTGTTATGTGAAATCTGTTTGGTTATTAAAGTTCTGATATCATATAAAAAACCAAATCAACTCAAAATATTATTTAAATTGTTATGTGAGATTTTATAATATGATTTATATTATTTTTTAACAAAATATTTTATGAAAATAATAAAAATTGCATGGAAAGTCAATTGATCAATCATTAATTTGTAAAAAATAAAAATAAATTGTGTACAGGGAAGCAAACTCAACCAGGGCACAGGACTTGTATTTCTAACATCACTATGGCATTGACTCTTAATAGTCGATGCATGCATATCCTTCAATTAATGTCAATGCATTTTAGTTTCCTAAACTTATCGCTATATGTTTGGTGCATATGCAATTCTTTATGCGTTTAAACTTCTCCTTCGTTTTTTTTTTTTTTTTTTGCCCCGGAAGTCTCGAATAGAGTTCGAAATGTTTCTCTCTTTAGAAAAAAAAATTCTCCTTTTTCTTTAATAAATAAGGTACTCATGAATAGCTTGTTGCACCTATAAATTCCTACTTCGATGACTTACCATATGCCTGAGGATTAGTAACGAAATCCATGTTCGCATCAAAAGCATTGGCAGCGATGAAAACATCCGATCCAATTTCCCTATTGAGTTCCATTAACATTTGCACAAGTTGTGGGTTGAACAAGGCAGCTGCTCTCTGCAGCTCTGCCGCACATTCACCATTTCTGCTCCTCATCGCCCTCTCCGCTGGAACGCAACCTAATGGTCCGGTCCCCGTCACCAAAACCCTACGTGCACCCAATTCATATACCCTCTGCATAGTGAAACAGTAATTTACTATATTAATTAAGTTGTAATTTAATAGGTTGTTACATGAATTGCTGGTTTGATCATATGGCGAGACAATATTATTTGAACATAAATATATGGAAAACAGAGTTCATTTAATGCTACAAGAGCATCAACGATATTTTTCTAATTTTGGTGAGAGATTAAATGCAGCACGTAGTGCAGAGTTTCTGTGTATCTAGCATAAGTAAATTGAACAGTAAGAATGAGAAAGTAGGTCAAGACGTCAAGTCATTTGAAAAGGGCAAGTAATAAATAACTATGGCTTCCAAAGAGGAGAGAAAGCATGAAGAGATACATTCTCTGTAGCGCTGAGTTTCTGTGTATCTAGCTAGCATAAGTAAATTGGACAGTAAGAGTGAGAAAGTAGGTCAAGACGTCAAGTCATTTTAAAAGGGCAAGTGATAATTTACTATTGCTTGCAAAGAGGAGAGAAAGCATGAAGAGATACATTCTTTGTAGATGGATTTGGCCAAAACGTTTTAATGAGAAAATCATCTATCAATGAAAATGACCTGAAAGGTTTTAAATAACATGTCAGAAAACATCAAATGGAGCTAGGTTGGCCTCATGAACAGTGAACAGTCCAAGCAATAAACTCCTTTGTCGGCTTCGCAAAGTCAAGAAAAACTTGTCTTGCTTGCCAATGAGCTTACGTCTTAACTGATCTAATGTTCTTTTTCTTGAAATAAAAAAAATCGAGTTCAAGTCTCCCATTTATGGAAGAAAACTTATCTTGCTTGATTAAAGGAAAAGGTGATGCAAATATCGGTGAACTTGGGACAAAAAAAAACCCAAAAGTGAGACCTTCTAATTCATTACAGCGCATTTGAGCCTCATTCGGTGTATTTGACTAGTGTTACAAGATTTTGCCTAGTCAGTGGGTTAACCTGATAATATATTTTGACTGGAGCAACTTAGTTTCACTTGATTTTTTATTTTTTTTAATCAAAATAACATGGTTTTAATTTTTTTAAAAATCAAAATTTAAATTAATTTAGGTAAATTTATTCCACCCAATCTGAGCGTTGGGCTGGTTTGACCCATGTAACTTTCCAGTCGACACCACTTTCTATCAAATTAAATGGTGCTAATTGAAAGCTTCATCAGGTTAATTTAATTTTGCATCTACGTACTTCTATGTGAACATGTTGCTATAGTCTACTGAATCTCTTTGTAATGTCTCTTTTTGCAACAAAATCTTGTAAAAAAAAAAGAAATAAAAAGAGAGACTTGATCGAGAATAATATGGCCAGAGAAACATATAAAAACATGTATATTACCACTAGAATCTTGCGGTACTCGGAGATGAGATAGACAACATAATCAGGGAGGGCGAATTGGCGAGATCTTGCAGAAAAGGGCACCAAGTAGTAGTTGTTAACAAAGTCATTGCCGCCTAGGGTCACCAGGACTAGAGCTTGATTGACCAATCGTTGAGCTTGCTCAGATCCAATAAGTGCACTAACCCTTTGCTGATATTGTTGGAAGTATTGCAATTGTCGGCCGATTCGGATGATGTTGAGCTGCAATGTATATAATTATGTTAAAATTGATATATGATGAATATTGTGTTCTTTTTACGTACAATATAAAGTAAAATCTCAAGTGTACTTGAGTTTACTAGCTAGTCAAGGTCTTCCTTCCCTGTCTTGATGAGAAGAAAAGGCTTGGAAATTACATTGCACGTCAAGAAATTGAATTGAAAATTAACTTACAAACTGAATTCCAGTATCATTGAGAATTCCGATTCCAGCAGAGGCAAAGTTGGCTCCGACAAGTAGTTTTTCTCCCCTGAGCTCAGGACTCAAGTATGGCAATGTGGGTTCCGAGCCAATTGCCTGACCTAGTAATATACATGATTGACATTAATCAATCTAGAGTGCAAGAAAAAAAAGAAGATATATATGCAATCTAATAAAAAAAAATCATATCGATTTTTTTAAGAAAACATAACCCTACTGATGAGATCAGGGATGTTCAAGCCATTAGAGAAACGTCCAGTAGCCCGATGAGTTGGATAATCGACCCCGTACGGCGGTGCATCAGCTCGAGCAGTGGTTACAAGATAATTATTGTTGCCATTATCTACTAACGAATCACCAAAAACAAAGAAAGCCCTAGCCTCAACTTCCGGAGTAACACTTGATAGTGTTATTACAAGCCCTAAAATTAAAGAAATGAAACATGATGAGCTATCCTTAAACATGTTTCCCAGCAACCCTAACACAACTTCAATGGGTGCCCTAACACAATTGTGATGTCCAAGTAAATGAGTGAACAAAGCTGGGTATAAATAATGTTCATCATGACTTCCTGTTATGAGCCCTCGATCGATGCAACATTAATGACCTGTTCAACTACCAGAGGTTTGATAGATAAGGCCACGAGGGTTACTGTCACAACAGAAGCTAAGAGCATACGCGTTGTTTCACAACGTTATGTAGCAGAGATATAAAATCATCCACCATGCCTTGCTCCTGAGCTTGACAACTTGCCATTAATGTACAGTCCATTATCACGATATAGTTGAGCTGGCAGTAGTAATTAGGGTTTGGATGCTCCATATATGTACAGAAATAAGAATACTTTTCCATGCACACCCAAAAAAATATGAATGTTTTTTAATCAATCACTTAAAATTATTGGAAACTAATAAAAAAATTACTTAACAAGAAATAAATCCCAAAAACATCTATATATGAACAGTGGTGAGCTAGGAGTAACTAGATAGAGATTTCTTTTATGATAATCGAGTGGATATATAAATAAAGCTAGAAAACCATTAAACCAAATTAAGGAATTCTACCAAAAAAGAAAAACGAAAATGGAGCGTCGACATTAATTAACTTCATGGTATCCCAGCTTATTTAATTGGTGACACCTTTCTTATTTCTGAAAGTTTTTTTTCTGTTATTTTCTTTTTCGGTCAGGATTGAATGCTGTTTGTGTTAATTACAAGCTTAAATATAAGGCAATTTGATGGTGTTGGAATTTTATTTAAATAAACACAGATGGTGATGTAGTAAATGTCTAATTTTGACCTATAAACATCATCCATGCAGCTCTTTCATTTTCATTTTAGGATAAGGGCATTGTTAGTAGGGTTTGAGAGTATAGTTATAGTTATAGTTATTTTTTAAAGTATTTTTTAAAAAATATATTAAAATAATTTAAAAACATTAAAAAAATATTAATTAATTTGAAGCAAAGAAAAAAATAAAAAAATTTAAATATTTTTAAAATTACTTTTTTAACAAAAAAACAAATAGGGCTTAAGTTATACACTATGAACCAACATCAAATATTTAATTTCGGTGTTGAATGCTTTGAATTAAATTATTTTCATATATTTTTTAAAATTTTATTTATTTTGAACATTAAAATTATTAAAAATATAAAAAAATCAAATTAATATTTTTTTCAATAAAACACTCTTAAAAATAATATATATATATATATATATATATAAAAAAGTCAATGATTTTGATGTATTTTCTACCTACCAACTCTATTTTTTTGTATAGGTAGAGTTGGTAGGTAGAAAATACATCAAAATCATTGACTAATTTCTAGAAAACCTCACAAAGGGATTTTTTCAAGAGGTATGATCGTAAAATAACACCACCACTATCATCATTTTTTTATTTCAATATGCTAGCGTCATGAGACTAATAACTAGGGATAGCTAGCCAGAGCCGAAGGAGCCATGTGACAGACATTAATAAGGTGGGCATGATCATCTACTCTCCGACACAGTCCCATCGGAGTTAATTAAAATGGAAAGGCCCCATAAAAAAACAAAAAAAAAAAAAAAACCTCCAAGCATGATGAATGCCGTGCATCATCAGCCCCAGTCGTTCTTAGAACCAACCTGGCTAGAAGTCGGTCGTTGGCACGTGCAGCAACATGAACCCAAAAAAAAAAAAAAAGAGGAATATACATATTACATATGTATATGGTAAGAATTTCTAAATTGGGAGGGACGTGGCTCAATGGTGTAGGCTTCTTCTCACTAGTTCGTCTTGGGATCTAGACAAAATGCCAGCAATAAGTTTTAACCTGTGAAATTAATTATTAAATATACCTGGGTTTTCACCCGCTTCACTATTCGTATTGAAGCAGCTCTTCCTTTCTTATTTACTTTCGATTTTTTTTTCAAAACTTCCGTTCAATATATATATATATATATATATATTTAATTTTATATTGTTTGAACCTAATTTCATTAGGTAAGGTTTTTAAATTGTGATAGAAAAACAATATTTTAAGTGACATGTCTCTAATATAAGACACAAAGAAAATGCATAATTAATTTCAAAGCTTTTAAATTTTTTATTTTAATATAAAAATTTATTTTATTAACTTTAAGGTTGTTGGAAAACATTATTAAAAAAGACTGAAAGTTGTTGGTCATATTCCAATAACAAACACCATTAATTACATACATATTAATTTATTGGTATTTAGATATTGATTTTATTGGAAATACTTTTACCAATGAATCAATGAAATCATGAATTATTATTGTTTGTCAAAAAATGTATGGTCAGTAATTTTTATCATGTTAGTTATATCATTAATAATATAATCATTATTAGATTTACATATGAAAAAAATATGCCAAAAAATCTATCGCCATAACTTTGTTAGTATTTTTATCAATGTATATGGCATATCACTAACAAAAAAACTATGATTTGTATATCCATCGGTCATTTATTTTTATATTACAAATAGAATTAACCCTTTAGTGATTACATATTGTTAGTGGAATTTCATATAATTTTTTTCAGCTTTCTAAAACTCTTTCAGGGATTTAGTCCATTAGTGATTCTTTCTGAAACAATGAGTGGCATTTCATGTAATGGTTTGTCAAATCTCTTTAACTTTTCAATAAAATTAGTCTTTTGGTATTTTATCAGTAACTAATTTTAAAAAATTCTAATAAATAGAGTATAATTTTTTGAAGAAATGTAATTAAAATAAAAAACCAAATAATTATCATAGATTTAAAAATTTATCAGTTTGAATATAATTCATTTAAAGAATAAGGGCTCAAAGAGAAGGCAGGTCTTCGCCAAGACTGAGGGTGATAAGGTGGACCACATATACCATCCATGTTTTATTTCAGCTCTATATATAAAGTTTTTTTGTCTCAGTAGTAAGTCAGGTCGTCTGAGCATCAACTTGTTATTGAACAATCACCGGGAACTCTAGAGATTGAGCACTCAAAACTGAATGTGAGCATCTAATAATCGAGAAACCATAGGCTGTAAGCAAATCTTTGACAGTTGTGTTTGAGATACTATAAACCTGATTACTATTGAGTCCACTAGATGATCTAATCTCAAACCATAAATTCAAATTGAGTTTTGGATAGTTGAAATATCATCCTTGTATCTCTTTCACAATCGAATGGTATATGTTTCCTAAAAAATCAGTAAGCTAATTAAAAATAATAATAACTTAAGAAAAAAAAATGTTAGAATCCAATTTATCATGGACTTTTGAGCTCGGCTATTTATAAGTTGTTGCATCCCTTTCCGAAAGTTATCATTTTGTATGTAAGTTTTTACAAACAGCTTCACCAGTCTTAGTTCGTGTTCAAGAGTCATGCTTGCAAAAAAAAAAAAAAAACTATTGTTAGTTAAACATTTTCATTTAGAAAAATGGAAGTAATAATAATAAAAATCTTACCATCAACTTCGCCTGTGAAATAAGTATAATGGATTTGTCGATATACGTTGTAATTAAACTATTAATCTCCTTATTCTGGTCCTCTGCACTAGATTGTGTCACTGCATAAAATGCTCGGACATCACATGCTAGATATAAAATGCCTATATAGCCCTCAAGACATGTGGTGACTTGAAATCCCTTTACCTATATAGCCCTCAAGACATGTGGTGACCTGAAATCCCTTTAAATTGTCATGTCTTCTTAGCCTGGAAGACCTGTTTCTTTAACATATTTTTTTTTACTTTATTTTAATGCCTCATATAAAAAATCATGCAACCTATATAGTATAATTGAATTATCGGTTGAGATAATAAAAAAAATAAAATCTTAACATTTAAATAAAAAAATATAACATTTTGAATTTAATATTACCTAACAGCATTGTGATTTTCCTAAATCCTCCTGATAACAACATTATCAGCTATATCCCATTAAATTTTTTCCATGCACATAAAATATTGTTACACTTAGTCATTAACTCCAAGTTTTTCTTTTAGTTTGATAATCTTTATTTGGTATGCAAAGAAATGTTTAAAATATTATAAATAACTTAAGAACTCATGGCTTTGCCAACGTAAAATGCTATATAATTGATGGGCTTTAATATTTAATATATAGGTATATAAATGTCTAAAGCATCAACCACTTAACTCTCCATATCAACTTTATTTCCCATAAAAATCTTGATGTAGTCATGTTTGGTGGAGTAGAGTTCACTTCATTTGCCCATATATCTAAAAAGTTTTTATAACAATTTCATTGAGACTTTAAGAGTTCCTTAAGAGGCTTAACACTATTAAAGTTTAATGTATTTGCAATAATAAAAAATGAACTTAAAGGTACATATTTTGATTTTGATTAGTCATTAACCCTCCCCCCCACTCACTTTTTTTTTTTTGAGTGTTTCCTTAAAATCTTGACAATTATAAAGGATTCGAAGATGTTAACTATTGTCCCTAAGTATATCTTCTTAATATCAAGTTTTTAATAATTCTCAAAAATCATATATTTCCTTTCCACCTCCTACCACAACTTCAATAATTCTCTTTGCCTGATTATTATGAGGATACGGTCTGAAATTATAACACAAGCAATGAAGCCTCTAACATTCATGCTGAAGGTAAAGGATTAGGTATATGAAGTTAAATCTTGTATGCCCTTGATGATGTTCATTAATCATCTCTTAAAATGGACTTTAGAATGACTGTATGCATTTCTCAATATTCTTAGACTTTCTTGGGCAGCATCTGAACATTAAAAGTATACGAAGACAATTTTGACTCTATTTTTTATGATTTTCAAGTTGCTTTATGTTCTAGCAGTTTGGAACAAGTTGAAGGCATTGTTGTCCACTACATAGCTCACCTTTAAAAGGGAAATTTTCATTAAGCATGAACTACTAAATAATGTTATTTTGATAAACATCAGTTATCTTGGCAACATTCATAAACATTGGTTTTTTATATGAAATTAGTCAATCTAATTCTTATCTTATAACACTAATATACCTATCATTATCTTTTTTTACCTTGGTTTTG